GGGGACCTGGACAAGCCATGCCTTTTTGGGCAGCCAGCCACTCTAACAGGGAGCCAGACTGGGAACAGTTGCCAGATGAAAGATCTGCAGAGATTCACAGGAGTGAGGATGTTGTCCATGCACTCAGGAAGATGAGGCAAGTTCTTTTACGGATTGGGATTGCTGCTGCTTCTTGTGAGATGACTATGCTGTGGTGATACTGTGCATTTGTCATTTGATTAAGTATCAGAATTGCTTCCCTGCAGTAGCAGACAAAGCCTGTATCTGACTCAATACTTTCACAATATTGAAGACACACAGGAGAGCTCTTGGTGTTAGATGTCAGATATGAATCTTCCATTGTTAATGAATCTCATGGCATGCCCATTTCCTGGCAGCTTGAAAACACAGCAGCACCAGCCCTGTACTGTATATCTGGGCTATTAGTCCTTAGCTGGAATTAAACCTTGCTTGTGGTAGGGTGCAAGCTTTGGTATCCATAATTATAGCTTTGACCTCCCCATTCCTATATAAACCCAAGCCATTCTTATGCTGATCTGAGGAGGAAGGGCATGAGGAAAGGCACCTGGAGCTTTTGCTGCATAGCATTAATAATGTTCTGGGGACTTCTCAGATTCTTTCTGAGGCATGTTTTGGACAACCGGCAATTACTGAACTGGTGGCTAGCTGCTATCATCTTATGCATGTTCAGGTGTGCCTGCAGGCAAGAGTCTTGGCTAAACTTGCTCTCCCAGATGGCCAGAAAAGCTAGCAAAGAGCGACTGGGCTAGTGCTGTACCTTCTCCAGATGAAGTGCATCTGCTTTGACTCAGAACTGTACTGGCTCTTCACATGCTGATCCTTTTTCTTACTGTGCAAAACATAATCCTTTTATTACCTGCCCCTGCACATACTCGCACCCTTCCTCTTTCCTCTTCCCTCCTGCACTGGTTCTCCATTTCCCCTGGAGACCCCACTGACTCTTGTTCAGTCACTTTTCTCCCCACAGTCATGATTGTGGCTAAAATCTATGATTTTGAATCCTATTTCTAACTCTTGCAAGTGTTTCATTAGCTTGCCCTACTTTCCTTCTTTCGCTCTTTTAGAAATCTTTTGAGGAGATACTACTGAGTGTCCAGCATCATTGCTAAGTGCAAATGAATATACTTTACAAGCTAAATCTAGGCTGTTCTGGTGCTTTAAGGGACACACAGTGTTCTGTGTTGTCCAGCTTCTGAGGGAGAGGCACAAACGAGACAGTAGTTGACAGAAGAGTGGAATAGTGTATCTGTAACTGTATCTGTATTCATTAATAGCAGAGAGAAACTGGAGTTACTGACCGAGCAGAAGAGGTTGGTTCAGTGATCTGACGATGCATTCGCACATTGTGTACGCAGTTCTCCTTCATTCCTGCCTGAGCATCTAATGGAATATCAGGGGAGGTGTGGCTGATTTTCATGGAGGACTCCGGATAGGCTGTCGGCTGACCCAGATAATCCTCACTGTAGTCATGGTCATTGGTCTCTGTATCTGTGTAGTTCAATGATTCTTGTTTGTTGTCTTTGTTGCCAAATGGCAGACCACGCTCTCGCCAAGGGATCCAACAAAGCTTCCAGGACACGAACAGAGAGACACCAAACAGAGCAAGACCACAGGCTGTGACAACTAGGGAGAGCAAGCTTATTGAGATATCTGCAAACAAGAAAAACACATGCATGTCACATCTTTGTGCTTTTTGGAGCTGTGCATCTCCAAGGCATACAATATGGAAAGTAAACATCCCTGGATTGCAGATCTACAAAAATTAAATTCTGGTCCCTGCAACAGTCATATAATAGAAATATATTAAATGTTCTATTCTTTTTTGTTTCCCAAGAAAAACAAACAAAGAACACCTTGTCACCTTGTTTGAAATTCAGTATAAGGCTCATCCTTATAAAACTTAGTTTATATTTTCCCTCCAAAAGCTGGGTGGGATAAAGGGTCATCCTAAATATGAAAAGGGCTGTTCACTTGTTCACTCAACTTTCTACTGATGAAAGAATAGTGCCTGCAGCACATTTTGGGTTTTTTTTCTTTATTTTCCTTTTATGTAGTAAAGTTTCATCCACCTCCTTCACCAGATCTTACTATTCTTCTGTTCCAGAGACTGCATTATACAACAACCATGAAGATATGCACACATGCACATACGTGGCATGAATTTTTTTTTAGGTATTTAACTGAAGTATCTTATTTCATCACTTTAATTCCATTCCTTCTAATCTTAGACTCATTCCTATCTTTGCAAATTATTTTTGACTATCAATACACATCTTGCTGTTTACCAGTATCTCTTCAAAACTGAGGTTTTTTTGGCTTTTAACTCCAAAGGCTCTTTTTTCTGTTTCCAAACTTCTGGTATAAAAGGAATGTGGAGATGAGGTTTCTGTTGTTTTCCCCCACATTCCTAGCATTATCCTACTCCATAATCATATCAACACAAATAGGTTACAACTGGGAGAGGCTCTTCTCTGTTTGGCTTTGGTTTAAGTTGCACATTGGGAAAATGACTCAGTGGAACAGCTGTTTTTATGGTTACAGTGTTTTTGAAATGAGTTTCTCTGTGGATTACACAATATATCATGCCTTAAACACAATTAGTAAGAATTCTATTTTACTACCTCAAATTATAAACATAACCTTATCAAAGCAATTTTTCACACTGTGTGTAGGTTCAGAATGTCAGGCTACATCTCTCTAGCTAACAGCTAGCCTAAATTTTCAAAGGATGGCATGAGGTTGAAACGTAATGCTCCTACTAGGACAATTATTTAAGAATGACAATTCAGATGAAACAGCCTCAGTCAATTTGAAAAAAAACAATATAAATTTTTTTTTTTCCCAAAAAAGTGGAAAAGTCAATACCTTCTGCCCCTGCTGTGAGTCTCATTCTCACTAGCCAGACAGCTCAAATTTCTGCAGAGGGGGGAGTGACACCACAAGCAGTTTCACGCAGGAGCTGCCCGATTTATTTTGCATGCTGAAAACCAATTTTAAACAATTGTAGCCAGGATGGCCCTGTCTGTCCTTCTCCCAGTCATATGAAGACAAAACTCATTAACAGTGGGGACAGCACAGCAGCTGTTTGGAATTATAGCAAAGAGTTTCAGAGCTGAAATTAATTAAAGAAATTCCTCCCATGCATAAAAGGCAATTTGAGAGAAAGTAGAATGGTGGTTCTTGATATTTTTGGAATGTTTACTAGTAAACAAGTCTGGTAGTGGAGACAGAGCACAATCTCTCTATTTGATTAAAAAGCAGAGGAACTGGCATGCAGTAGTGAGAGAAGACCTTCAGAATAAAGCCATTTGTCTTGGATTCTCTGGAGGAGAAGGAAGAAATACATCAGATATCTGCAAAAAGGTCACTTTTCCAAAGAACTGATCCAAATAAATGATCCAGCATTGAAAGAAATGACAAATTAGGAATTGTCAGAACGAGCCAGCGGACTACAAGGTGAGAACTGGAGACTGCCCAATGCCAAGGATGTGTGAAGGTGAGGAACAATTTGACAGGTAGACCAACAGTCCCCGACCTTGAGGATGACTTTAGCAGAGGACACAGTCCTCTAGAGAACTGACATCATGAGAAAAAATACACGACAGCAATATGAAGTACTTTTCATTTGGAGAGTTTGAACAGCTTTAATAATATAACACTGAGAACCCTTATCTCACAGCTTACTTTCAGAGCAGCTGGGTAATAAACAGTCCAGGTAATCTGCCAAGTTGCAGAATAAGGAGGGATTATTTTTCATCATCTTGGTTTTACTTCTTTCTGACTCCTTAGGTTCCTTAGGAATCATTTTTGTCTGAAATTTTGGCTTCTGTGGGTGGAAAAGGGACAGCCATGTATCTGTCTTACTTCTGTGAAAGTCAGTGGGGCTGAAGGGCAGAGCTCTAAACTGTTACCTTTCACTGGACAGTCATTTTCAAATACTGCATACCTGGCTGGCAATTTTCAGCAACTGGGTGGACCCAGCATGAATAGATGGGGTGAGCGCAGTCCCAAGTGACGAGATTTTTGGCGGCATCCTGGAGCTGCTTTTACATTAGCCATTTGTACTGTTGCATACTGTACTTTCTGTATAATTTTCACTCCATCTTTCCAGATGTCTCAGTTTTTCTAAGCCTGTTTATCTGTATTCCCATGTGGTACCAGTACTCATCTGATGCCAGTGATTTCCTCTGCTTTGTAATGAGAGCAGGATAAGTCTTTACTTGTTTGTCCTTACAAAAATCAGAGATCTGCAGCACAGAAAGTGTTCCTCAAAAATACAGCTGCTTCTCAATTCACTCTGCTTTCACCAGAATTAGTGCAATGTGTTTTTCAGAGCAGTATCTGATGTAAGTCTACATCAAATAGACTGTGACTCAAAGTGCAGGAGAGCACTGTAGGCAAGGCTGAGCAGTTTACAGGTAGGCATGGACACTAGGAGCAGTGAGGAATGGTGCCAAGGCTTTTTCAGTAGCATAGCAACATATAAATGTAGTGCCCACGTTTCACCATGTTTTTGATGATCATCTGTGCTCACTGTTAGCATTTGGCCAGCCCCATTAGTGGCTAACTAATATATCCGCTCTCCATACCTACTCTGCACTGAGAGGAGCTCTTGATGCTCTGCAATGGAGAATCTCATGAACACAAGGAAGGCCTCTCTGCCATAATTTCATAATTAAATGAAATTTCAAAATCTCTTAACTATAGCTTCTTGACCATGGCTACAGCGTGACCTGAGCTCCCAAATTCCAGCATATCAGAATAACTGGACAGTACAATAGCGTGTTAATAATGGGCAATGTGTTCCATAGAAACCAAGTCCAAATTTTTTGTTAAAAACATGTACTTTTGTAATAGGTTAAAGGAACCAATCAATGCAATTGCATATACATACAGTTAATTTTTATAAGCCTCTGCATCCTCTGCAATGTGCTTTCATACACCAGTAAAGAAGGCCTTTTGACAGAAAATAAGAAGACAGATTTTCACGATGGCCCCACATTAGACATTCTCAGGACTAGGGAGCTTCATCTGATTTTTTGTCTATCATCAAGACTGTCACTGCTTTTATTTCCATGCAGTTATGACAACTCAAGTACCCCAGCTGTGGTTTGCAGTAAGGCCATGAACACATAGGCTCTCTGAATATCTCACTCACAGCACATCTTACAGATATTCTGACGTATTCATCAGTTTTTCACCAGGTTATCATGTTTGAATCCCTTTTACTCCACTTGCACTCAATTTCTTATTAATCTGCTATGCTTATCAGCATAATTAGTGCATCGGTTCATTTTTTGGTAGCAATCACAATGCAGAAACAGCAAGTGAAATACAGTTTCTACCAATGGATCACATCATCAGTTATTGTAACAGACTGGAGAGATGAGTTTGGCCTTTCTGTGACAGATTTTACTATAATCAGATCTATGACAGCTTTATCAAAAAGACTCAGTTTGGTTATGGAGTCATTGTTGGATCTTTTTAAAAAAATTTTTACTTAAATTTTAAAGTAGGTATGTTATACATAAAAGAAAAATTCCACTCTTTATGTGAAGAGGCTGTATGATGGGAATATAAAGTCTTGTCTCCAGATTACCCTATTAAACTGAATCACAGAATCATCGGGGAAGAGACCCTCCAGATCATCTAGTTCAAAATCCTGCTCAAGCAAGGTCACCTTGCTGCCCAGGACCATGCCCAGACAAAGTTTGTCCAAGGATGGAGACTTCATAGCCTCTATGGGCAACCTATTCCAATGTTTGATCACCCTCAAATAGGCTACTAATATAATTTTATTTTAGGAGGGTTAAGATACTAAGTGGCTAACATTTTTTAGATCACGATACAAAAATATCAATAAAATGCTAAGATATAACTGCACTTTGTAGATTATTTAGTAAAAAAATTATTCCTCTGTTTATATTGCACAGGTTTTTAATATAGATCTACTAAACATAAGCGTTTATATTGACTTTGAATGAAATCATATATTGTTCCAATGAATGAGTTAGCATTGAATGTATACATACATATTGCATGTTTCTTGTTCAGTATTGAAGGTTATCAGATCAAAGGTAAATGTATGAAGATTCCATTCAAATTCTGACAGTACAAAAGTACAGGCCTGTGACTTGTTTTTTCTGGCATAAATGGTTGTGCCTTACTTTCTAAAACTCTGATGCTGAAAAAAATTACCAAAAATTAAGACATGTGAAATACAGAAATAATAGAGGTGGTTTTGTCTGTTCATATGGGAAACAAGTAATGATTTTTTTTTTTCATTCTTATGTTTATTAAGTTACCATTTGGATTCCTAACTATTATACAAAATCAAATAGCTAAATTAGCCAACAATGGGAGACATCAATAGCTAACGCAGATCAATATATGTGTCCAGATACACAACTGGAATTACACAGTCAAAAGGCACAAGCTAAACTATTTGGATTCATCTGACTCCAAAACATGCAAATAAGAACAAATATATGAAGAAAATAAACCAACCCAGGCATAGACAGGACATTTGATCAAAGGAACTGCTGATCAATAATATAATTATTTGGGTAATCAAGTTTTTGGTTGCCTGCATGTGAACAGTGGTCTATCAAATGAACTCCTTTCCCAACAAACTGGCTGTAATCTGGTTTAACTTGAAGCTGAAAGAGTTTTACTAGAAACCCTAACTGGGAGAGTTGTTCTAACAGGTTTTTATTGAAATAAACCAAGCTTTCTTCTCTATGCTATTTACTCTTCTTTTTCTATTAAAATTAGTATTTAGATATTCCAGCATTATTGTAAAATATACATTGATCTATTAGGTAAAGTTTGGCTAGCATGAAGTGATATAAATCTTATCAATTTAAAATCTTGCAATACAGATTTTTTTAGCCTAATACAATCAATCTTTTCTCATTTAAAAAAGAAAAATCAAAAGACATTTAATTCAACATTGCAGTCAAATAGAAAATAATAAAATTAACTTGTTCTGAATAATCAAGTTACTAAACTTTAGGATATATTGGGACAAATCAGTCAATCTTTGGGAATATGATTCAGTCCAAATTCAATGGTAATTTCAAGCTGTTATTTCCAGAGGAAAAAAATATTCCCCCTTTCATTAAGTTCTTGTTGCTTAGTGGGATATTTTAAGGAATATGAAGTGGTTAGATATGTAACTTGAAAAACAATGGAAACATCACTGCCTATTGCTTAAATCCTAGCTGTGCTTTTGAAAATCTGAATTGTCTTTCTTCCATGCAAATACATCTATGGAGAGTTAGCCATAATTCAGCTCAGTAATTGTACTGTAAGAGCAACTTTTTTGTATATCTAGAAGTCTAGTTTTTCCAGAGGATAAGTGTTGTTTGGACAAAGTATCATCTGAAGCACTTACTGAAGCAGTTTTAACCTAGTATTGCAGTGTGGTTTCAATTGTGCTTCACGAGTTTTTCTTAATTAACATAGCTTGCACTTGTTCAGGATGAAAGGTGTCTCTCTGCAGACTCCTGAGACAAAGGTATAATTCTCCGCTAATATATTCTTCTCTGAAATATTCCTGAACAGAGTTAATTATCCTTAATACTGTGTTTAGAAACTTTCTGGTAATTCTTTAAAAAGTAAGGCAGCTGAAAACCAAAGGAGTGAATCTCAGATTATATTAATTTTATTACACATACATAGTCCAACTCTTATCTGTCTGACCCTGAAATTTATGAATGTGGGCCAACAAGACAGGCCTAAGCGAGATCAGCGTCAGGGTTTCATACAGTAATAACATTTTCCATGATCTAAAAAAGCAACTGGGCTTTACCGGTACTTGAGGCTGTTAACAGCTTTTAGTGACCTTTTTTTTTCTCCCAAGTTATGTGTTCTACACCTTATAGGTAGGCCTTAGGGTATGTAAAGCTTTCATGTTGGTTAACGCACTGTTCTAATCCTCTGAGTGATTTGCATATATTTTTATTCCCAAATAGTATTACAAATTCCAGTTTATCAGTGTGTGCTTTCTCCTCATCTGCTTTGCTTGGTTTACAAATTTGTGTAATGTTTTTTTTCAGATATTGCTTAAAATTAAGTAAGTTTCATAAACGAACTGGATCAATGACATATAATCCTAGGACTTCACCAAGGTAATTTTAATTTGGTTTAAATGTACATAAATTCCATAGCAGAATTTCAATATGAAATCAAAATTACTAAATGGTGATACAAAATACAATAAAAAGTACATGAATAGATATTTGTTTGCTCAGAATATTTTTCCAGAAGCAATTGCTGTGATATAATTCAAAACTGACACAAGATTGACACAATAGTTTATTGGTAAGATCACAACATTAGAGCTTTAAGAAAAACAAAAAAAAAGGCAAGTTGTTGATGCACATTCATAAACAGGAAAAAAGCACTCACAACAAAATATTATTTTTCATTTTGTAGCAGCAGAAAGATTTTAGTTTTGCTTATTAAGGAGAAAAGTTAGTTATATAAACAGAATGTTTTGTTTGTAATTCAGGTAAGGTGACTTCATATTGAGATGGTTTATTAATTGCAACCAAAACTGCATGTGAGCACCACACTCGAAAGTGTACTTGCTGAAGAAAACTGATCAGTGTCTATGATAAAGCTTAACATCTGTAATCTAATAAGTTAAACTTGTTCTAAGAAGAATTTCTTCTTGTTTGCACATCTATTTCCTCTTAAAATATTTAGTCTGCATTAATGCAAATTTTCTTGACAACTTAGCTGACATAATATTCTGCTAGAGTTTAAGTGACAAAAAATGTCTTCACTAATCCGACAGCTGGCTGAATGCGCAGTGATTCTTAAAGACACAGTTGAGAGGAGTCATATGTTCAAGGGCTTGCATTTGTCTTTCTGACATCTTGCAGTAGTATCTACTGACAAAGAATTATGGTGTTCCTCTTGTGAAAGCTAAAGCTTCTGTTTGACAAGAAACATGGATACAAACAAAGCATAGTAGAAAATGACTGCATACACACAACTGTAATAAGTTTTATCCAGGTTCCCATG